CGAATATCGGAGGTACCGTTATATGGGGGCTATACTAAATCGTGGATCTACATAGCCCATTTTCAATCTACTTCAATTCGTTCGGAAGCTTTCCACAGATGGACAGACGGACGGATATCGCTAAATCGACATAGAATTTTATGCTGATCAAGAATATATATACTTTATGGGGTCTAAAATGTATATTTCGAGGTGTTACAGTGGGAATGACAAACTTAATATACCCTCCATACTATGGTGGAGGGTATAAAAATATTAGCAAATATATGCAGACCGACTCCGTAACCTTCTTTCTGTTAGAAAACTAAATCCTATTTATTCTTTGCAAACCATCCATTAGATTTTGAAATCTCGTAATCCGTAAAAATTAGTATTTTTTGTGGTGGAGGTAAAGGAACGAGTGGGCTAATACTGTCCTTTTTCACACCTGACCTATCGGGTAACTATATTGCTATATTCTTAACTATATGTTTTGATACTCGATCCGTGTTAGCTAAAGTTATTTTTTAAATTTCTAGAAAATATTTTGGAAAAGTTGACCGTATTTCAAAAAAATACACGAGTTGAATTCCAGAAATCCAAAAAATAAATAGATTTGCAAATATCAGATCACTATTTTGAAGGACCGACTGCATACAACCTGAATCAGGTCATGGTAAATGAATGAAATAGTTAAGAAATTTCGTTAAGGCATCTGAATTCCTGGTTTATAATAACTAAAGTGTAGAGCGCACAGCGAATTACGCCCCTCTTTTCAGCCTAACCTAACCCTAAACTTTCCATCCATTTACATATTAAAATTGGTCAATGATTTCAAATTTAACAATGCGATTGGTAGGAAATCGAGATGTTAATGTGATCTTTTCATACAGTATGAGGGCGACAGTGTTTACTCATCACAAGGTATGTAGAGAATAGGCCTGCTTTCTAGTTGCTTGGGTATCAACTTCATTTTATCGAAAACCTCTCCTTGGATGATAATAAAGTTTTTCATTTTTTTTTTTTTGGCTCTCTCAATTTTTAGATCTATCTTAAGTATTCCTGAAGTATAAGTAAAACTGAAGTACATGTGAAATGCTCTGTTGGGCACCATGTCACTGCATTATTAAAGGAAACGGAAAAGCGGGCGAACTAGCAAAATGACAAACAATCCACAAAAAAACCAAATTTCAAGGTATCTAAACTAATTTGATCGAATATCTTTTTGTGAAGAACTCTGTCGGTGATAATAAGAAGAAATCGACGTTGCCGATGAAAACTGCATACTTTATGAGGACGATGAAGACACAACAACGATTGAACATCTATTATCTGAAATGTCGGTATATTTACTCAAACCAAACTTAGAATTTACTATCGATGTTGATATTTTCGAATGTTTCTGTACGTAATTAAACGTGATTAGAATTGCGATGAGAGAGTTGCGTTGTGGGCAATGACAAATTTAAAATATCCTCTTCGAGAAATATGGAGCGCACCAGGCAGCTAGACATACGGACAACCCTAGATCGACTCAAAAATGTCCTAAAACGGATTTTATCCAAAGAGACTTGGGGTACAAGTCCATTATTTCGATGGGTCACGTTTTGATCGTACCAAATGATGTATACCCTCTGTAGCCATATGGCTGAGAGTTTAAATCTTGCGGTCGTCGTGACCCGAAAAAAGAGTCCATTGTATTGAATGGAATAAGAAATTTGTTTTAAATGGAATGTATTAAATAAATGACCACAATTTATTAATATCAAGTTATAAATTGGATGAATAATTTCCACCTCCCAACTCTAAATCAACCCTAATGCCAAATTTCAGATTTCACAAATAAGAAAATCACCTCCTTATATCAACACTATTTTTCAGACTTGTTTCTCATATCAAATTTCAAGGTTATTATCTATCCGTTTATACACATATTCTTAAAATTTTGAAAAACACTTTAATTTGTTTAATCTTCGCAGCGTCAAGGTTCCGTACATTTTAGTAGGTACTTTCAAGTTCCGCGCCATATATCAACCAATTCCCACAAAAGGTGATCCTAATTTCAAATTTGAGACTTCCAACTCAATTCCTTACCCAAACACCAAATATAGTACTTTTAAGTACGTAATTCCAAAACCACTTAATATCTCAAACCAACACACCAACATCGATCACAATTAACATTTTAGTGCCATTTAATACCTTAACAATACAACCACCTCTATACCTTAGCAATACAACCAATTCTGACCCATCGGTTCACATACATCCAAATTGTAGTACATATAAGTACCAATTTCCACAATCAAAGAAAACCATCAGGTTTCGTTCCCTAATGTTCAAATAAACTAATTTGCTCATTTCCAATTTATTGGAAGATGTTGCACGTAGATGGTCTTCCTAGATCTGGAACCAATATTTCCCAAAGACCTATAATCTCTCAGAAGTGGCAAAAGAGATTTTGAGATTTCCTGTGTTTGTGAATTCTCCAAAAGTTCACTGGAGTGGACATTTTCGTATTTTGTCTACAAAAGTTGGCAAACTCCTTCACACATTGAATATTTTTGGATGGCCATCCAAAACTGCTTGGCTTTTGCAATGTCCGGTAACCGGGCGATAATTACGACCTCCTGACAATTTTGCAGTTTTTTGGTCCATTTCAGCCCCTAAATATATGGCGATCATCTCCAAAAAGAGTAGGCTTCTATTCTGACCCTCATCTTATTCCCATGCAAAATTTCGTAAGGATCGGGCCATAAATGCGATCTGTATATGATATCCTGATATCCTTACTACTTAGTTTTGTAAGCTGTAGAAATATTACCAAATGTTTAATTCAAAATGAAAATATGCCAAAAATATGACAAAATGGAAAAAATATGAGAAAATGTTACAAAATAAATATTTTCATCTTTAGAGAGATATTTGTATGCGTTTCTTAGACGTTTTTCCTTTCCTGCCAAGAGGCCATTCTGAATTAATGAGAACTGTCGAAATCAGTTCAGCCGTTCTCGACATATATGAGATCTTTTAAGCATATCTTCTTTGATAGATATATATATCGCATATATTTGCTATATGTTCGATTTTTTGGATCTTAACATCAATGTAAAGATCAGAAGTAACCTCGTCATGGCTTTGAGATTTCGCCGGGACTTAAAATATTCGCGGTTTAATGAAAAATTTTGAATTTTTTCAACAAAAAGGATATGGTCAATTTTACCCGCTAAATATTATCCGACGACCACACAAATATATGGTAGGCTTCTTCCCCGCCCTAAACTCTAGCTACATGCGAAATTCCGTCGATTGGTCTATAATTACGACCTGTATAGCTACTGCAAAATCCGACATTTTTTCAGTATTTGGTCCATTTCAACCCCTAAACATTTGGCGATCATCTCCAAAAGAAATAGGGTTCTATTCTGACCCTAGCCCCACCTCCATTCTAAATTTCGTGAAGATCGGGCCATAATTGCGACCTGTAGAGTGATTACAAATTAACATGGACAGACGGACAGACGGACGGACGGACATACATAGCTAGATCGACTCAGCTCGGCGAGATAGGAAGATCCATATATAATTTCCTATGTGGGAAATCAATATTTCGTGGTGTTACATAATTTTTGGCCCAATCAAACTTATAATACCCCCAACACATAGTGTTGTAGGGTATAATTACAACCTGCATCATTCAATCCCATAGAAATCTCACTACCCATTTTTAGGATTCCAGCCATATCGGTTCACCCAAATCATATCATATCATATAGTACATATAAGTACTAATTTCCAAAAGCATCCTACATAATCCTACACTCCAACAGTAATCTTAATTCCAGCTCTATCGGTTCACCTAAATCCAAATTTAGTAACATTCGGTACGCATAAGTACGAATTTCCATAACCACGTACATACCTTAGCCCTACTATGTAATAGCAATATTAGTTCTAAATTTCATGATTTCAACTCCAGCTCCATCCGTTCCTCCAAATTCAAATTGTACCAAACTTAGTACCGTTTGGTACTTTTCGTATTAATGAGTACACACTTCCAAAATTACCTCCTCCCATCGACCCTACTCTTCAACTTTCATTCCCATTCCAAATTTGAAGTTTTTAGCTCTAACCGTTCACATAATAAGAAATCGTACTAAATCTAGTACATTTTAGTACTTTTCGTACAATTATAGTGCGAATTCATCCAAAATCCAAAATCCCATTGGTACATCCATCACTCACTCCATTTGCGAAATTATAGAATTCTTGCTCTACTGGTTCATCAAATACAAAGGGTATCATACTTAGAACCTTTTAGTACTTTTCGTACCGTTCTAGTACGAATTTCCAAAATCGCAGGCTTATCTAACCCCTTTGGACCAAGAGTGACTCTCAGCCAAAATTTCAAGATTCTAGCTTTAGCTGTTTAGTCTGGCCGTTGATGAATCATTAAGTCAGTCAGTCAATCAACAAGTCAACTCTTTACTCTTTTATTTATATAGATTTCATTTTAATTTAAGGTGTGTGTGTGTTTAAATACTAATTACCTGAAGTCGCCTATCTCGCATATCCACAAAAATAAAACATATAAATAATTATATTTATTTATTTCTTTTTGTTTTATTTTATTTCTCTTTTCTTTTTTAACATATGTATGTTTTTTTTTCGTTTATTACTATAATAAGAATCTGTTATAGGTAATAACATATTGCGAAACTATATTAAAATGTTTTTATTTTTTTGTTTACTAATTTATTTACTATTTAATTAAATTAAGTGTAAGTGTAATATGAAGTTTTTTGTTTAAATTTTGATACATTTACAGTAATCATGATAATAATTTTTTCGCACATCTTTCTCTTCTCTCTTTCTTATGTATGTACTGAATGACATTTTTGTATAAATTTTACATGGAATGCGCAGCTTCATTTCGTTATAATTCTTGTTCTTATCCTTTGTTACAAAAACAAAATTATTTGTATGTATATGAGTAAGAGAGGAAGAAATTAAACAATTGATTTGAAGTTTTTGTTTTATGTTTTGCTTTCAATTTTTATTAGAATTATAGGTATGTATAAATTGTTCTTATGGTGCCTTATAACTTAAAAGCGAGTGGGAGATGCCCATAATGTTTCATTGTTGTTGGTTTAGTTTGTTTAATTATAAATAATAAAATAATTATTTTTGTAATTAGAAATTAAGAAAACAATAAATTTGTGCTAAAATATTTACTAGTTTATATTTTTGTGGGTATTCGATTCTTATGTAATAACTAAAATGTAATCCACATTTTTTTTTTAAAGAAACACATTTTTGTAAATGATGCACTAACCTTATTGCATATAAATATTACATTATAAATAATAGTTATTAATCTAAAATTTATTTTGTTTTCTTATTAATTTTATGGGAGCTCTAACTATAAAGTTTTGTATTCAATTTTTAGTTGCTAAATGTCTCGTTGAGAATAGGTTGTTTTATGCTAAAGGTAACAAAATGTGGATGTTGTTGTTGTTTTTTTTTTTTTTAATATAGACAGCTGGGACATGAAATTTGAGTATATAATTTCGGTGTTATTAAATTAAACATTTGTATATATACTTTATATAGTAAATAGTTTGTATTACTTATATTTATTTGTTTGCTTATTGCTAAAAATTAAAACAACTTTTAAACCTGATATTCTTGTTTTTTGTTTGTTTTTTTTTTTATAATAATTACTTTTACTATTTATAAATATAAACTACTTAAAATGATATAAAATATTAAAATAAAAATTATTTATATATTTTTTATTTTATAAATTATTAACATTTTTACAAAGTTGTGTTTTAGTTTTATATGTTTGTTGTTTATAATGGAGTATTTTGAATCTATTGCAAATTATCATTACTTCTAGAAACTTAAAATCATAAATTTATCACTATGTTGTTGTTTTGTTTGTCTAAAAACACAAAAAATAATATTGCATTTAAGATAAATCGGTATGTTATTTACCATCAACGTAAAGGACAAAACATCCTAAAGACAATCGGCCCTGTGTTTCCGAATTTGTTTTATTTGTTTTTGGGAGGATATTCAATAACTATTTGTATGCTAAGTTCGTTTGTATTGAAATGAAAAGAAAAACGTAAGAATTATTTTTTTTTTTTTGAAGTATAAAGCATTAAACCAAGAAGAAAATTAAATATTTTCTTTAAACCGTAATAAAATCATATTTTTTAATGTCTGTTAAAAATGGGATTTTGTGAAGGTATATAATTTAATTATTTACAAAAAAACAAAAAAAGAAAAAATCAGAAAACAGTGATAGAAACAAACATATTTTTAATAATAGGCTAATAAATTATATAAAAAATGGACTTTAAGTACAAAAAAGCTGCAAGCAAACTGAAAAACAATTAAAAATATGTGCTGACTTGAGAACGTTATGATAAATTGAAAAATGTAATAAAATGTGTTGCAGCACCTGGCCCAGCCACGTGATACAGAACAATTGTAAGTTTATAGGTTATGTTAAACCCTGAATATTAAGTTTATTTTATTTCAAAGAAAGAACTGAACAAAACACCTAGAATGTATCTCGGACTCCGAAACATAACTCTTTATGAATAATAAACAAAAAAGAACAAAGTCTTTTGTGGTCTTCTGAAAACTCAAAGAAACCCCCTTCGGTGCAGGTCCTACGAAAGTATAAGGAAAATGAAGGAGAGAGAGAGAGCTGCAAACTGAAACTCCGACTCAGGCAACGATTAGGCATTCAGAGTCTCAGATAATGAAGTTAAATCAAATGTTCATGCGTAGACAAAAAGACAGAAGTAATAAAAAATATTACAAAGCGAAGGGACCAAAGGTATCTAGATCTTAATTCACCTCCTCGGTAGTGGCAAAAATTTCGCCATCAAAGATCGGGACCTACAAAATGATATTTGATGTTATATTTTTTGAGAAGGTATCAAGTTGAAGCTGGTGAGGGAAAAACCAAAACCAGGAAAGGATGGAAAACTCACGAAAGAGCTCTTACTCGAAGTTTTTGATATCCATAATAAGACAATATTTTTGAAGAAATTTGATGTATTTCTCAGATAGGGGTTAGAAGTTTCCATTGATTAACATTTATTTGCATCCTTATGAATATAACTAATGGATTTTCCAGTTCCCTCAAAAAGAAAAATGTTCAAATAAATGCATTTTAACCATAGCTGTTATTCCGCATTCATATAATATTCTAAGCTTTAGTGTGTTTTTTTCTGATTTTTTTTTTTTTTTTTGGAATAATTTAAATCTTTTCCATGTCAATTTTTCAATGGAAAAATCAAAATCTTTCGGTATAATTAAAACAAAATATCTTTTTTTATATTTATATATAAATAATAAGTAATAAGAAATTTATTAGAGTAATTTTAAAATATGTGCACGTATAAACAAAAAAAATATATAACGTTCTCAAGAGTAAACCATGGTTTGAAAAGCACTGCTGTGAGTAAATTAAGGGTTCTAACAAAAACTAAATTAAAATTTCTAAAGCACAGTAGTTTTGAGTATGTGTGTGTGTCTATGATAAGATGTGTTGCCAATCATATAACAAAAAAGAAAACATAGAGAATGAGGGAACCAGAGAAATATTGCCAATCATGTGGGACCAGTGTTGCCAATGGTCGTCATTTTTCTTATTGGAATTAATAGCAACATTCAATTTCATTTTAAATTTACACTATGATCTACTTAAACTTATGAAATATAATAATATTTATAATAAAACTTAACCTATTAACACTAAGGCTCTTTTCGAATACTGATTGGATTCAAATGGTCTATCATACTGGACGGCTGATAAAAACACAAAACAAAAAGTTTACAAAATAATATTTTCAAAATTTTTCAAATTTACAAAAAAAAAAAAAAAAAAGAATTGCCTAAAAATATTTGAACTAAACAAGAAGTTGGAAAAACAGAAATATGCCAGTAGTATAAACCAATCAAAGGCAGGCTTTATGTGTTATTGGTTTTAGCACAATATCAAACACCTCGGAATATGAAAAACGCTTTAAAATCAAACATACAATTTTGTTCTAATTTTGAAACAGTACAACCTCAAAGAATATCCAAAGGAAAGAAAAAGTTAAACTTAAATTTGTTGAAGCGTTTTCATATTTTGTTTCACATCGGTGGATAAATTATAAAGCCTGCCTCTGTTTGTAGTTTAGCTCAAATCAGTTGTATTCGGAACTTCATAAATTGGATGATATAATTTTGATCACATCTTGAATATTCTTGAGTTATGTACGTGTGAGTATATTTTTCTCAAACAAACAACAGCGGCTGATGTCATTGGTATTGATTGGGGGTCAGATGGAGTTGGAGTGTAGGTCTTATGTGCCATGGAGTGGGGATTGCTTCTAGCAACAATATAAATTGTCACCTTCTGCACCTACTCCAGCTGCGGTGCTACTAATCTCCGTATCATTGCCACGTAGACAGGAGACAGTATTATTCAAGAGTCCAGTATGTAGCATACTTTCGTTTAAATCATATGTCTCCTGTTTACAGAGTTCATCGTGATGAGCGCTGTGCTGCTGATGATGAAGATGTGACGATGATGGCGGTGGTGGAAGTTGTGAAGGATGTTGTTGATGATGATGATGGCGCTGATGAACATATGAATCTTCTTCATCCTCGCCATCATCATTTTCGTGTACAACACCCTCTATACAACTGCCCGCACTACTACTGGCCACATTTTCATCGATTTGCGACAACGCTGCCGATGACATTAACCTCTGTTGCGGCGCAATAATAACTTGAGATCAGAATTCTTGTGGATATTTAACACAATCGGCATTTGACGCTGACGACGCCACTGCTGCCGCCGAGGCAAAGAGAGCATTTGCCCCACCACCGACGGCCGCTGTGCCGCCCACAACGCCAACACCACCTACACCCACACCTCCACCACCAGCGCCGCCCAAATCTTGAGCGTTCTGTGTTTGATAACCGCCAGCAACACTGGCTGCTGCTGCCGCCTGATATGGTTCCTGATACAACTGATTGAGCCTCTAACCAGTACCCGAAAAGTGCCACGCGTCCTATGCGCTCAAATGTGCAAACTGTGACGGATGAATATCGAATTGATGATAGGGATGTCCGTAGGGACCCATGTGATACGGCACGATGTTCATGGAGGCCATTTTATGTTCCTTTTTCCACTTCATGCGACGATTCTGGAACCAAATTTTTATTTGGCGTTCAGTCAGACAGAGGGCATGAGCGATTTCGATGCGTCTCCGGCGGGTCAGGTAACGATTGAAGTGGAATTCTTTTTCGAGTTCCAGCGTCTGGTAGCGGGTGTATGAGGTCCGTTGTCGTTTTGTTTCGCCGTTGGCATTGACAGTACCTGAAAAAAAAATGTTAGAAAATAATATTAGATTTTATCGATTATATAAGAGCGGTATTTTTGGCAGATCAAAATTATTGGTAAGGTAAAATAATGCATACATTTGGGGTACATTAAGGAAGGTTCTGAATGTTTTTGAAAAGCATTGACACAAAAATTTCCATTTGTTGATCACTCAAATAAGATGTTCAACTATGAACATGGGTGAAATCAAATGAACTGTTACTGTATTTGTTTCTGAAATTGAAAAGTCAAAATTTCGGAAATATGCTGAAGTTTTTTATAAATTTCAAAAATATCGATCCATATTTTTAGAGTTTGTGTGGTAAACAATTACATAGTTAATAAATTTGGAGAAAACAGGTCAGCTAATGTAAACTTTTCTGAAATTTTTTGAACCAAAATTTAATGCATGTTCACATATTTTATATATTTCAAAAATATATCAATAATATTTAAGTTTGGGCAAAAAAAAAAAAAATGACAAGGTTCATTTAGTTCAATAAAATTGTTTTACAATTGCTATTAAATGTCGAGCAATCAGATAGACTTATTTAAAACATTTGTTTTATTGCTTTATCTTCTTTTCAAAATAAATTTGGGTGTATTGACCCATTTATTACCTTTAAATTGTGGAAAACCTAGTGACCCAGAAAAATCCCAAAAAATATGTATTATTAAACCATCAACCCTTAGAAGTCATTAAAGTGAAGGAAGACGCAAAAAAATTATGAAACATTTGTCAATATTCCCAAAACGAAATACCACAATATACAGACGAAAAATGTGCAATAATAAATTCTATAACCAGAGAGGAAGAACTCCTCGGCAATATTTTAAACGCCAACATAGTCTGACTCTTGTCTGGCTAGCAACATGCTTATGTTGCTTTAAGCGTAAATATTTCCCATATAAGATCATAACAGCTGTCATATTTGATTATATTAAACATAAACGTCAACTGTAGACAATAGATAGACAGACAGAGGGACAGACACTCAGTTAGACGGCTAACAAGTCAGCCAAGTTGTTGGCTTGTGAAGTAGTATTGGCAGCCGTCGTTTCCGTCTTGGCGTTTAGTTTTGTTGCACGTAGTACGGTAAATATGAGCATTATGGCTAAAGTGTATTTAGGGTTGTTGCTACTTTTGTTTTTTTTTTCGTTTGTTTTTGTATTAAAACGCCCCCTCATTATAGTCAACGCGTTTCAGACGCCCCTCTTAAGTATTGAAAAATCAAACACACAGACACACACACCAACAATGCAAATACACCAGCAAAATAACGCGAAAAGCGTTTGCATATGAAAAATGTAACGGTAAATTGTACCACCACTCACTTGCCAGCCGCCACCTTCTATCACAAACAAAAACATTAGGTATGTAAATTTTTCCACATTAACAAAATCGCTTAGGCTCGTGGCATTTTTTGACTAGCTTTGTTTTGGTTGTTTTGTATATTTTCCTCTCTTTTCCTTTTCCCTCATTTTTTTCAAAGACGAATTCATAAAATGTTGCCAAGACAAACGTTTTGAAGAAAGTTCCTTATTTGACTTGGGGTGTTTTCGTACAAATTCGTTTTGGCTTTTGACAATAGCCCAAACCACAAGTTTTTGAAAGAAAATAAGTTTTTATTGTTATTTGGCAAAGAAGTGGCTAAATTATAGTTTGACACGTCATTTTTATGAAGTGAGCATCGTTAAATTACTATAAAGAGAATAGTTTGAGGTGAATGGGTTTTCGACAGACTTTCAAATGCCCTACCCAATGCCGAAAGAGTTAAAATTGTCCTTTTATGAATGTCCATTTATTGAGCATTTTATATGCATATGTTCAAAAATGAATGAATTAAATAGTCATATGTTTACTTTTTATTCCATACCTTAGGGGATTTTTAATTCATTTAACCATATTTGAAGTCACAGGATTTACAATTTTGTTAAAGATAAATAATTTTTCACAGTAATTTAGGAAACAATTTTGGACATTATTATTTTTATTTTTTAAAGCCCAAGACCACTCCCATCTATTTCTTATAAATTACTGAAATCGTGTATGAAGTATGATCTGGGTGTACGTCGAGGTTTGGCCTTTTCCCTTTTGGTCTACTAACATTTGACGGACATATCTAAAGACTTAAAAATGTCTTACAAAATTTCCAATTTAAAAAAAATATAGGTTACCCTTATAGTAGGTGCCCATTTGATCCCTATATCTTTGTCATTGTCTTATAATCTTATGTACACATTTCTTTTGTCCATTCATATTTTCAAAAACTATTTCATATTCTTTTTACTTATTCAAGTGTTTACGAGAAAAAAAATCATGTCTTGGATTGGATTGAGGAAATAGCATTGCTGATTTCCATGTAATTTGATTGTAGCAAATAAAAACATGTTAACGCCTAGTAACGCCCCATTGTTGTTTTCCCTCTTCATTTTACTTTCCAATAACACTTATGTATATGATGAATATTTTGAAGGCAAAGAGGTAATAAGTCAATTTGGAAAATCATACCTAGATACGTATTACGATTGTGTGGGATTCTATGCTCTAGGCCCACCTCCATATTTCCTTGGCTTTCGCATATGGAGTTGTTGAACTTTTCTTTTTGTCAAAAAGCTATTACTCAAAATAAACAAACGCGACCTACATCAAAAAAACCCCACTCAAATCCTCTTTTACTTTGAAAATGTATAAAATTAGAAAAACACTTCCTTTCCTTTTTGCACACTCAACGTTTTAAAATTTGGCTATTTTTATTGGAAAGCAAACAACCAACCAAAAACCAAACCCACAACGCCAACAACATTTGAAAAAAGCGTCGGCATCGCAAAACCGCCGTAAAATGTTGTCAAAAGTACATCAATCACTGGGCCAAATATCTAAATGGAATTTCCGATTAAACTTAAAATTAATTATCTCTCATTTAATTAAAGTGTATTTAAGCATAAAAACTAAAAAAGAAAAATAAAAAGCAACAACAACGAATGCACACACATCGGCGACCACGCTCTATGACAAGACACCGAATGTCACTAAAGCGAAACATTGGCTTCACTGGTTGCTAGCAACATCCAAGAGATTAGATGATGGTTTCATTTTGGCCTTTGAAAAGCGCGCCAAACACCAAAAGTCTCTTTTTGTTGAACAAATGTTGTCTTCCTCATCAACGTTTGCCGCTTTTCATGGGCGGGAGGAGACCTACATATTTTGCCACGATTGGAATTTGTGTGTTAGTTTGTTGTTGTTATTCTCTATCCTTGAAAACTCCAAAATAAATAAACCAAAAAAATTACCACGAACGAAAAGAGTTTGAAAAGAGTTCGTATGGTTTTGTTTTTGCTGCTGAAAAACACTACAGAAAACTAATGACCAGCTCATAACAATGCAGACAGTAAGCAGACTTGGTGTGCGTCAAGAAGAACAACCCTACCGGCAATCATGTGTATGCATACATACATACATCGAAACATCCATATGTTCTATGGATGTGTCTATCAATCCATCACTCGTTTTAAAGTTTATATAAGATACAAACATAGATGTATCCTGAATGTGGTGGCGTTTAAAGAAGTTGTGTTTGGGTTTTGAACGTTGGACATTTTTAAGTGTGTTACAAACATTTTATGTTTGTTTTATTATTTTGAAAATTTCCTTTTAAAGACTTGAGCAGTATTCTCCAAAGTATTGAAAGAATAAAGGGTGTGACCGGCAATTTTCATAAAATATTGTCAGTGAAGTCAATATCTTTTGGTAAGCTTAGAAACTTTAATATTAGTTCTGATATTGGCAAAAAACTAATTCAGATATTTAATGTTGTTTAAAGATGTTTATATTTTATATTAATTGCTCCTAAAAGTATGCAACATATATGAAATAATCTTTTATTGGACTTTTAAGAGAGAGATGTCAGTAAAGATCTGACATTCAAGGAATTACTTTTTGAACTCTACCTACAACGGAAAAATGGTCTGCCAACCTTGGGTTTTTAAGAACTGCCAAACAATAAAAACTGGTGAGTATCGATAGTTTTGATGTCACACAAATACTGGGGGCTTCATCACCGGGACCAAGGCTTCGGAGTTGAACAGTCGTAGTTAAACCTTAGGTCGGAGCTAGTCAAAAAATATATATTATTAGGAATTAATCATTCCGGGCAACGATATTACCTGACTTTAATTATAGACTAGACTATATATAAGCCGGAATGTATTAAAAATAAGATTTATTCACATTCACATTTTAATGCTGGAGTGCTCTAACGATAGCCACTTGTCGTTTTCCAGTCAAATATAAAGAAATACCTTTCTGGAAAATTCTCACCAAAATGCTTTTGTACGCTTGTAAAAAATATGATGACCAGTCACTGGAAAAATTTTAACAGCTGTCGGCCGATTAGCTTAGTAATGACAGCAGTCTGAAGTTCTTTGCAGTTTTTTCATCTCACCCTGCATATTGCTCATGAAAGGCGGAATAAGCAAACATTATATTACAGACAGAACTGTCATTTTACAGAACCGTGGTTGCCTCTATTGAAGAAAAAGTTGCAGTATATATGCAGCAATCGAGCGACATCATGCTTGCTCCTAAAAGTATGCAAACTATTTTAAAATAAATCGTTTTTCATTAATATATTTTTGGGTTGTTCCCACTATCAAGCTATTTTCGAAATACACATCGAATTTGTAATTAAAAATAACTTCAAGATATTTTTATAAGTCACAAGAAAAATTGCTTAATTGTTGTGCATTTATCTCCTGAACTTCTCTATCCTAGCATGAGACATTGTCAGCGCTATTGTCATTGTCATCGATGCAAGAAATACATATTTTCTATCAAAAAAAAAAAAAAAGAATTAAATAAATGTTTTATAGTAAAAATCATTTATAACAATTTTTAGCTAAAGTATGGGAATTTCTGTTCCTCTACTTGAAGTCTCTTTGTAGCACGACTTCAATATACCGATAGCTGTGCATTCATTGTATTTTTTTTATCTCAT